AGGTGGAGAATGCTTTTTCGTATGTAATATAAAAAGATTTTTTGAGTTTTATTCCTTTTGTACCTTTTTTCTGTCGTTGCTCTGGATCGTATAGACTGGTTTTGGAACTAGTCCCCGAGTCGTGTTACGGCTCAAGCTTCGATTGGCTTTCCAGCTCTTTCCCGCCTGCATGGGCGGAGGGCGATGGCCCTTTGTGCTCCTGAACCGAAATGATTTTGCGGGCGCGTGGCGTGGATATTTGTCTTGGCTGACGATAGTATCATTTGGGCCGTGCCTTTAGGCGTTTTGTGGATGAATTATCCTCGGGTTCAGTCTCCGAGTCAGGATCCAACTCGAGCTTAATATACCCTTGAGCCAGTTAGAGCTGGCGATAATGGTTTTTATTTCCTGCCCTTGGGCGTTTTGCGATTTTCCGGGTCTAGTCTCCGAGTCAGGTTGCGATTCGAGGTGTAATTGACCCTTGATCTTTATGGAGATTCCGATCGGCAGTAGTGGCATCGATGTCACGCCCATTGGCGTATTATAATTATTGGGTCCAGTCTCCGAGTCGCGTTGCGACTCGAGCTTATTGAGTTTTCAGCCAGCGATGGTGACTTTTTTGTCGTTTGGTCACTGAGACCTTTCAATAAGTGGCATGTAGGCATGCATAGTTAACTATTTTGGATTCGGTCTTCGAATCGGGTTACGATTCGAGCTTGCTTTAATCCTCAAGTTGTCAATTTTCAAGCTGGCGACAATGGCTCTTACGCTTTATGGTCGTAGAGACCTTTTGATATGAGGCCTGGAGGTTTGCTTAGCTGGCGACAATTGCTCTTACGTTGTTTGGTCATAGAGACCTTTTGATATGAGGCCCAGAGGCTTTTTGTAGGCTTTTTTCCTCTCGTTAAGGTCTTTTTGAATATTTTTGCCTGACTCATCGTCGGTTCTGAAAGAACCTCTATTTCAAGTCGTAGTCGGCAATGCTTTGAGCACCTCGTAAGGTTCATAGCTCATAGGTCGAGTAGATTGACGCTCTTGCGATTTCGGAGCTGACGTGGTTGGGACTCGTTTTTTGCCTGTTGAGGGAAGCCTATTTTTAACCGGTTCTTTTCGAAGTATATTCGGAGGATTTTTTAGCGACAGTCGGGTGTCCCCGAGTCGCGTTATATGGGCTGTATCAGCCATTTTGACCGGAGTCATATGCGTTTGGCCGGGGCCATTTTTGATCCTAAGAGGAAGTTTTAGGTGTCTACACCGAGGGTATGCCCTTTAGGGATTCTTACAAATGCGACATATAGCCTAAATTGCGGGACTTTTCATGCCTGTTGAGGTCTTACAGTTTTCCATGCCTGTTGAGGTCTTACAATTTGTGAAGGATAGATCTAGTTATACCGAGGCTGCCCGATAAGGTCTTACAATTTCAGATTTTCCAGTGCATGGAGATTGGTGGCAGTCTCCGAGTCATCGAGTTATTTCAGCCTGAAGATTGCTTCTCGTGAGCTCAGAGTTGCCTCATAAGGGCTTGATGAGCCCGGCGTTCCGACCCTGGGGTCATCCAGGTACCGAATTTTTCAAGTCTCCGAGTATCTCGAGATACATCTGGCAGAGAGGTTTTTGTTGTGAATACGCCAAAATAGTCTTCTTCGAAGCGTGGAATGCTTAAAAAATATTCTTTATTGCTTACTCTGGTGCTACAATTTGGGAGTGAGCACTGCCTGGAGTCTCATTGAGGCTCTTAGGGAACTCTAACACACTCAAATAGGTTAAAGGCTTTGGATCAATGGTCTTTGAGTTTGGTCTATCTCATAACTCAGACAGGAAGTCTGAATCAGGCTCTCCTTTGGTTGTACTTTTTTTTACTATTCCTGATGTAATTTTATTCATTCTGGTTTGTAATAAGTTGTAATAAACGCTTGGGGCTGGCTAGTGAAAAAAGGGGGTGGGTAACTATGCATGCAAAGGGTAGGAAATCATGCCTATAGGTCTACTACAATTCTGCATATTCAAATACATATAGAAATCATGCCTATAGGTCTATTACAATTCTGCATATTCAAGTACATATAGAAATCGTGCCTATAGGTCTATTACAATTATGCATATTCAAATACATATAGAAATCATGCCTATAGGTCTATTACAATTCTGCATATTCAAGTACATATAGAAATCATGCCTATAGGTCTATCACAATTCTGCATATTCAAGTACATATAGAAATTATGCCTATAGGTCTATCACAATTCTGCCTATTCAAATACATATAGAAATCATGCCTATAGGTCTATTACAATTCTGCATATTCAAATACATATAGAAACCATGTCCATAGCATGTTCTAGTTCTGCATATTCAGTTGCATATAAACAGCATAGCATAAGGTTTTAAACAAAGTTTCGCATTTAGATATACCCATAAGTTTTAAAACAAGCTTTTGCATTTTTTAGATACCATGCCTATAGGTTTAAAAACAAGTTTCTGCACCCTGGTGCTACGTCTATAAGGTTTAAAAGAAGTAATGCATAGAAAGCATGCCTATAGGAGCTTCTGAATAAATCTTATTCGCATTACTCAGTGTTAGATATAAAATCAGTAATAATGGATACTATCAGTTGCAGATCTTGTAATCAATTCGTTTAAATTCAGCCTCTCTTTAATAATCTGAATCCCTCGCTTGACCAAAGTTTAGCAATCATGCCTATAGGGTTCATTACATTAATGTCTTATTACCTTCTAAATTCAGTAGATATCATGTCTATAGGACCCCGTCTTAACACTTAGGCAAGCCATAGGGTAAAACTATAAACTGAATCTGTTTTAACAATTACAACCAGTAGGTAGGCCTGATTCGGGCTTCTTATCTGAATTACGTAATGAACCAGCCTGCCTAAACTCTTAAATTCTCTCTGACATTTAGTATTTAATCAGACCTAAACAGTATGTGAAAGTCATGCTAATTATGTGCTTTTTCTGTCCAAGGAGGTATAATTGAGCCCCTGTTTGTCTATATGTTTTTCCCCTAAAATGTGCAATATATGTTTTGTATGTCGACTTAGATTTTTTACCTTTCGAAACCTCAAATAAGCCCAATATCCCTCCCCTTTTAGGATTGGTAGTCGTAAGTGCCTCCGGGACTGATAGGATTGGGGCGGGAAATAGCATGCAATAAGTAATCGAGACCAATCCGCGTTTTAAATACCCTAACGGGGTGGGATGGGTAGATATTGATATGATGACCACACGATAATGTCACGTGTAGCCCCTTATTGAGGAGTGATTACCGGGCATTGTGTGGGGTGATCCACATTATTAATAAACCTAGGACCCTTCTCCCTTTATTCTTTATTTATTTCTTTTCAGCATTTTAACTCTTATTTTTATAATTAGCTTTTTTCATACCCTTGTTTACTTTCAAACCTTTATGTGATGAAATCCCCTCTTATTTGAGCCTTGTTTGTTTATATGCTAATTGTACCCAAATTCACAATAATTGTCTGGCCTAGAACCACACTAGTGGATTCTGAGGGGTGCCTAACACCTTCCCCTTAGAATAATTTCAAGCCCTTACCCTCTCTCTGGCTATTCAAATCGAACTCTTCTGGTGTCCTAATGCACCCTAATCATTAGGTGGCGACTCTTCAAAATTGCAAAACCCCTTTCTCAAAAGGAACGAGTTGTCCCTACCAAATGTTATAAACCCGATTTCGCGAGAAAAGGGGGCGCGACACCGCAAACTCATGGAGAGAAATGCTGATGGTGGAAAATGCGACGCAAAATGCGATCGCATATCTGGAATGCGGACCGCAAATCAACAATGCGACGACGGCCTGGAAACTAGGGTTCTGAAGTGCGATGGGCATGAAGAGAATGCGGACCGCATGTCTGTTATGCGACAGATATGCGGTCGCATATTTAACCTGAAAGGGCATTTTTGTCCGTTTTTGTCCCGAATTTTGGCCCTCCATAAGTAGATTTATTGGGGTTTGGTGGGCTCATCTTGTCTGACTGGGAGACTACAATACAAGGCTTTAATATTCCTCTCTTTTGGGAAGCTTTTGGGTCAAGAATCTTTCACTTTGTAAGCTTTATGGCATTTAATATTCTCTTGTTTTTTTTTTGTATGAGTAGCTAACTTTAAATACTAAGGTTGTGGACCCTAAATGGGTGTTATGTTAATGGGTGTTTAACATTGAATATATATATAATGGTTGGTTGATATTTATTTACTTCTCATTCTTCATTTATTGTTGGTGGTTGCAAACATTAACAAGTGCCATTAAAATTCTTGCTTTGCTTGGGAAAGTGGGTTAGAATTTGGTAGAAGTAAATATCAAAGACTCAAGGCTTTAAACCTTGTTTAATAGGATCGCTTACGAATAAGTGGGTTTTATTTGGCATATATTGATTGTTATTAATTGCAACTCTTTTATATTTGGAAAAATCATAAAGAGGAAATACTACCCAACTATTGGAAAAAATTGGGTAGTCATTTAGACATCATTTGCGTATCAAAAGGACCTTCCATTAGAAATATATCATATTAACACCGATAACATTACACTTCATTAAAGGGAACACAACCTTGGTTTCTAATCAAATTATTTACATTCTCAACATTACAATTAGTCATTACTTCAAACCAATATCATTTCATACTCTTGTTACCATTAACTAAATATAATCACGACTTTAGTCAAGTAACACACTATTTGAGTAACCTTTTCACACCTATTCCCTGTGGGATTCGACCCCAACCTTGTTGGGTTATTATATTTGACATTGACCGCCTTACACTATTTATTAAAGTGTAATTTGAGCGTATCACTTGGCAAAGTTTGTTTAGACTAGATTCTATTATTTTTGTATATATAGTCTACACTGTACAAAGAAATATACACAGAAAATTTTCCAATATTCACTCTCTGTTCATTTTCTTCATGGTATCAGAGCAGGCTTGAACTACTCCATTCACGATCCTACCACAATTTTTTTTCTCTCTTTTTGCTTTCTTCTCTTCAGCTATGAGCACTACTGGACAGACTCTAGATCCTCTAGCCTCAGCCACTTCCACAGCCGACCCTGTTGTACCAGCATCATCAGTTGTGAGTGGAGTGGTTGATTCATCACATCCCTACTATCTTCATCCCTCGGATTATCCATGGATGAATCTTGTGTCCACAGTTTTTGATGGAAGAAGCTATGGTGGATGGAGAAGAGCTATAATTGCTTTATCTGCAAAAAATAAGCTGGATTTTATTGATGGAACTCTTACTATTCCACAAATTGATTCTGGACTTCAAAGGACTTGGGCAAGGTGTAATGACATAGTATTGTCATGGTTGTTTAATTCTCTATCTATGGAAATAGGAGAGAGTGTTCTTTACCCCCAAAGTGCTAAGGACCTGTGGAGTGATTTAGAAGACAGATTTGGACAAACTAATGAAGCTAAGTTATTTCAGTTACAAAAAGAACTTAGTGTTGTGGTTCAAGGTAGCTCTACTGTATCAACCTATTTCACTAAGATGAAAAGCTTATGGGATGAGCTTGACGCCTTGAAAACTTTCTCAACATGTGTTTGTGAATGTGAATATGGATATAAGGTGAAGAATTCTAAGGCACATCAAGATGAAAGGTTGCTGCAATTTTTGATGGGGTTGAATGACATTTTCATAGGTGTTAGGAAAAATATTTTGTTGTCCTCGCCCTTACCTTCCATTGGGCAAGCTTATTCACTGGTGATACAAGATGAGAAACAGAGAGAGATTGAGGACAATAAACATTCAAAAAACAAAGTGAAATATTAAAGCAAAAAAAAACTTACGGAGGAATTAAAGGCCATAGGAAAAGCACAAAATCAGAAAGTCACAAGAACAGAGATGAAGCTTCGTCGTACGAAAACATAGATCAATAAACTAACTTTTGAACTATCGAATTACCTTGGACTAACAAAACTTGAGCGTTGACGTGAGGAGAGAGAAAATAGATTAAGCAAGAGAGCGCAGTAGGGATTGACATCGTGACACGGTAGCGAAGTAGCTTTGGACTCCACTCCAGATCAGAACACGTTAACAGCAAAAACGGTCATAATAGACAATTTAAGCATAATAACGCATGAAATGACCAATTTACCCTCGTGAGGAAGCAAGCATGTTGACGGAGAGCTCTCTGTTATTCCCTCTTCTAAGAAGTAGGAAATTTTAAGGAGTCCTCCACTAACAAAGTTTTTTTATTGGGAACAACTGCACATTAGAATGGTTTATATACCAATTTACATCATGCAAAGGAAGCCAAGGTTTAGTTATATTTTTAATACATAGGCTGGAGTCTGGCCTGACTCCTCCATATTGTGGACCTTAACAAGAGTGCATGCGAGCTCAGATGGATGGAGCTCCCATGGAGTCTACTAGTACATTCTGAGAGAAGATAGGAAGAAGAGAGAGTGGAGGAGCCGAGATATTTTCCTGAAAATGTGAACTCCCACCTCATTCCACTAATTGAACAAGAATATATACATGTTGACTAAACTAAATGCTTATTAACTAATTTGACTAGGCTAACCACTAAGCTAACAACTAACTAGAAATTATGTTACACAATACAATAATGAATGAATCTATTAACAATAATAACTATACTCATACCCCCCCCCCCCTCAAGTTGGAAGTGAGGTCCTCACAGCCAACTTGCCTAGGACAGCTGAATGTTTGACCCCTGTGAGAGCCTTAGTGAAGATATCAGCCAACTGATTGTGAGTGGAGGCCTTCTTGTAGTTTGTTCCTAACAAAGTGGCAATCAACTTCAATGTGCTTGGTTCTTTCGTAAAACACTGGATTATGAGCAATGTGTATAGCAGTTTGTTTTTCACAAAACACCTGGATGGGATTTGACTGTGCAACAGTAAGTTCTGCAAACAGCCTGCTCAACTAGACCAATTCCCCAACTACTTTTCTGAGAGATCTATATTCTGCTTCAGCTGAGGATAAGGAAACAGTCTCCTGCTTCTTGGACTTCCAGCTAATAGGGCTATCTCCCACTAAAACAATGTACCCAGTGACAGACCTCCTAGAGTCTGGGCAGGCTGCCCAATCTGAGTCACAAAAGGCCTTGATTGAGCAGTCAGGATTGTTGGAGAAGAAAACACCCAGAGTAGGATCCTTCTTAAGGTATCTGAGAAGATGAAATGCTGCTGTCAAATGGGTGTCTCTTGGAGCTTGCATAAACTGACTTAGGAGCTACACACTATAAGCTATATCCAACCTAGTATTGGTGAGAAAGTTGAGCTTTCCCACTAACTTCCTGTAGTATGTAGGGTCTGGTAGGAGATTGCCTTCTTGTGCTTTCCACTTTATGGCAGGGTCAAGGGGTAAGGAAACACTGTTGTAGTCAAAACACTGATATTCTTTCAACAATTCCAAGGTAAATTTCCTTTGAGAAATAAGGATGCCATCTGGTTTATTTAAGACTTCTAGTCCCAAAAAGTAGTGAAGCCTACCTAGATCCTTTATTTTGAACATTTGATCCAGGAAAGCCTTCAAACTTGCAATCTCTACTGAATCAGTTCCAGTAATCATAACATCATCAACATAGACAGCCACAAAAATGATGGATGAGGGAGTTTTCTTGCAGAAAAGGGAGTGATCATTTTCAGAATGTTGGTACCCTTTTGAGGACAATGCTTCAGTTAATTTGGCATACCACTGTCTGTTGGCCTGTTTAAGTCCATACAGTCACTTGTTCAGTCTGCACACCACTCTGCTTGAACTGTGTTGATCCACTACAAGCCCAGGAGGGGCTTCCATATAGACTTCCTCATGTGATTCCCCATAGAGAAAGGCATTGTTCACATTCAATTGGAATATGTCCCATCCCTTCTTAACAGCTACAATAACTAGGACTCTAACAGTAGTCATTTTCATGACATGGGAGAAAGTTTCTGTATAGTCAATCCCAGCCTACTGAGTGTAGCCTTTTACTACCAACCTAGCTTTGAACCCTTCAATGCTCCCATCAGTCCTATGTTTGATTTTATATACCCACTTACAACCTATTGCTTGTTTGCCAGCTGGCAAAGGGACCAAATCCCAAGTATGGTTGGCATGAAGTGCCTCAAATTCCTGTTTCATGGCTGCCTGCCAAGCAGGATTGAGGGTTGCCTCTTCATATGAAGATGGCTCACTATCATGGCAAACATTTTTGCATCAAGTGCTGACTTTCAGTAGATAGAGCATCAGGAGTGATATGATGATGATTGGAAAATAGGGCTTTTAGTGAAGGGGTGAAATGTTGTGTGACAGTGGAAAGTTGAGCAGAACTACTGGGTAGTTGGTAAACATAGTCTTTTAAGTAGGCAGGAGTTTGATGACTTCTGCTGGATTTCCTTAAAAATGGTGCTTCTGACTGAACATGTGTAGATGAAGGCTGTAAGTTGTTATCATTTGTGGATGGAGGGTCAGTGGTGTTTGGAGAAGGTGTATCATTAATAGATGTCTCAGAGTGGTGCTCTATCTCTGGAGATGTGACACTAACAGGACTTTGTCCTAAATTCATACGGAGAACCTGACTACTAACTTCAGCATAGTTAGGAGAAGAGACTGTTCTAAGAACAGCGGGAAAGGAAGCATTTTCAAAACTTAAGGAGAATGGAAAAACATTTTCATGGAAGATTACATCTCTGGAGATGTGAATTCTCCTGGTGGCTAGGCTTAGTACCTTGTAACCTTTTGTCCCAAATGGATATCCTACAAAGATGTGAGGAGTAGTTCTTGGTTCAAATTTGTCTCTGTGTATTTTGGGTAAAGTGGGATAGCATAAGCATCCAAAGCTTCTTAAGTGAGAATAATGAGGCTTCTTTTGATACAACAACTCAAAGGGGCATTTGTTGTTAAGGTAAGTGGTTGGCAGCCTATTTATCAAATAAGTGGCTGTTAGGATGCATTCTCCCCAATATTTGGTTGGGAGTTTGGACTGGAACATGAGAGCCCTGGCAGTTTCAAGAAGATATGTATGTTTTTTCTCCACTACACCATTTTGTTGTGGTGTATAGGGACATGTTTTCTGATGTATGATCCCTTTAGATTGGTAGAATGAAAGGGCTTCAGGGCTGGTGAACTCCAAGCCATTATCAGATCTAATGGTCTTTATGGATGTATTGAATTGGTTTTCAATCATGGTCACAAAAGCCTTTAAGGCCTGTAGGGCATTAATCTTGCAGCTCAACAGGTGGGTCCAAGTGGATCTACTAAAATCATCCACTAGTGTGAGAAAATATTTGTAATTATCATGGGTGGTTACATGCTAAGGGCCCCATATATCTATGTGCACCAGTTCAAATAATTTGGAGGTAGTGCTGGTTCTTTGAGGAAATGGGAGTCTAGTTTGTCTTGCCATAGGGCATACAGGGCAGATAAATGGTTGTCCTGGTGTAAATTTTACAGGGATTGAGGATATCCCTCTCATTTTAACAAAAGGAACATGACCAAGCCTATTGTGCCACAGAGAATTTACATCATACTTATCAAACACATATGAAGGCTCGTTCTTATTACTTGAAATGGAAGTATTTACAGATTGAGGAGTGTGACATGAATGAGTATGACTAACAGACTCATGACTATTTACAGATTGAGGGGCAGGAATACAATTGCAATAGGAAGTTGAAACAACAGAAGGTAAGACAGTTCTTTTACCCTTCAAACATCTGGAACAGAGATAGTACAGACTGTCTTTGCTACTACCAATCACCTGAGGCCTCTTCACTGAAGGGGCCTGCAACAGACAAAGTGCATCACTGAAAAACACAATACATCTAAGGTGTACTGCAAGGGAGTGAACAGAAATCAAGTTATACTTGAATGATGGGACATGAAGGACCCTATGTAGAACAATGTCTGAAGAAAGTATCACATCTCCAAATTCAAGAACCTTTACTCTGTATCCATTTGGTAGACTTATCAATAAGGGATAGGGTAATTTGGTGATATTGGTGAGTGCATGTCGGTTAAAAGTCATATGGTTGGATGCTCCTGAGTCTATAATCCAAAGATCAGCCTTTGATTCAAAATATTTGCATGAAGGTTTTTCAAAATCAATAGAAGAAGTACAGACAACAATACCTGCAAAATTGGCACTGCCACTAGTGGCATTAATGTTGCTAGTGGAACCTCCTGCATATCCTACTTGAAAATGTTGTAGCAAGGTCATTATCTACCCATATTGCTCCTTTGTTAGATTGACGTTCTGATTATCATCTTGTAGTTCTTGTTCATTTCCATTCTCATGAATCATGTCAGCTGGAGTTCCATGTACATTAGCCACAGATCCTTTTCCTCTGTTGAACTTGTGGTTCTAGTTGTTCCCTTGATTGTAGGGATGAGCATTGGCATTGTTACGATTGAAGTTTTGGTTATTATAGGAACTGCCTTGAGGATATCCATGTAACTTGTAGCACTTCTCCCTTGTATGACTGATGTGCCGGGGAATTTCGGCACATTTCAATACTAGTTGCTTAGATTTTAGCTTGTTTTAATGCAATTACCTCCTTTACTTATGTAATTTTGATGTTTTTACAGTACATAAGGACTAAGGACCCAAGAGCATGGAAATGAATGCAAAAAGACAAGAAAAGAGCAAAATGTAGTAAAAATGCGGTTCTGCGACGCATTATGCGATCACAGATAACATCTGCGAGCCGCATAATCGACACTCATATCGCAGACAAAAACAGAGTTCTGGGCAAATCTCAAGTCAAGAATGCGGTCCATTATGCGACCGCAGAACCTGTCTGTGAGCCGTAAAGTGGACCGCAAACCAACCATGAAGGTTGCTGAAGGACGAATGTGCGATGCAAAATGCGATCGCATTTCTACAATGCGAACCGCAGATCTGGAATGCGATGAAGATCTGAAAATTAGGGTTTCAGTCTGCGATGGGGACGTCCAAAATGCGAACCGCATTTCACTTATGCGACAAGAATGCGGTCGCATTTCTGACCTGAAGGGGTATTTTTGTCCGTTTTCTGTCCCGATTTTTAGTCCACTATAAATAGCTTTATGATATTTTTATGGGCTCATCTTGTCTAGTTTTTGAGCTACATTCCAAGACTTAAATATTCTTCACTTTTGGCATTTTTTGGGTCAAGAATCTTCACTTTGTAAGCTTTATGGCAATTAATATTCTCTTGTTTTTGTATTTTAGCATGAGTAGCTAACTTTAAATGCTAAGGTTGTGGACCCTAAATGGGTGTTTAACATTGAATATATATATATATATATAATGGTTGGTTGATATTTATTTACTTCTCATTCTTCATTTATTGTTGGTGGTTGCAAACATTAACAAGTGCCATTAAATTCTTTCTTTGCTTGGGAAAGTGGCTTAGAATTTGGTAGAAGTAAATAGCAAAGACTCAAGGCTTTAAACCTTGTTTAATAAGATCGCCTAGGAATAAGTGGGTCTTATTTGGCATATATTGATTGTTATTAATTGCAACTCTTTTATATTTGGGAAAATTATAAAGAGGAAATACTACTCACCTATTAGGAAATATTGGGTAGTCACCTAGACATCAATTGCATATCAAAAGGACCTTCCATTAGAAATATATCATATTAACACCGATAGCATTACACTTCATTAAAGGGGACACAACCTTGGTTGCTTTAATCCAATTAATTACACTCTAAATTTTCCAACTAGTTGTTACTTCAAAACAAACTCAATCCATACTCTTGTTATTATTAATTCATATTCTTGTTACCGTTAACTGAATAGAATTACGACTTTAGTCGAGCAACACACTATTCAAGTAACCTTTTCACACCTATTCCCTGTGGGATTTGACCCCAACCTTGTTGGGTTATTATATTTGACATCGACCGCCTTACACTATTTCTTAAAAGTGTAATTTGAGCGTATCAAATTTTGGCGCCGTTGCCGGGGAATACGGTTTTGAAATTACTATTTAGTGTGTGCTTTACTTTACGTCTTATTCTATTCCATCACTCTTCGCTTGCTTTGCTTGGTGTTGATAGGAAAACATGTCTGACTACGAGGAAGAAATGGATGAAAACCCCTTGCGGACATAGATGAGTATATTGACGATACAAATGCTATTGTACCTCCGGCTGTTGGTGCCTCAACTTTCAAAGTGGAACATGGTCTAATCCTAATGCTCAAAGCGGAAGGGTTTTTCAGGAATTCTACTGATGATGATCCACTACAACATCTTAGGAATTTCTTGGGAGTGTGTGCTATGCGTAAGCAGAACAATGTCTCAAATAAGGTTGAGGGTCGTCAAGTACTCACTAGCTGGAGACGCAGGGAAGTGGCTTCAAAACTTGCCACCAAATTCCATCCGGTCTTGGCCTAAACTTGTCCGGGCATTTCTAGCAAAGTGGTTCCCACAGAGCAAGAAGTCCGAGCTTCGAGACAAGATTTTCTTCTTCAAGCAACAACCAGGGGAACACTTATATGAGGCATGGGATCGATTCAAATTGTATTTGGTGAGGTCTCCCAATCATGATTTTCCAGAGTCCATCTTGCTAGAGAAATTTTATATGGGTTTGGATCCTATGAACCAAGCTATAGCGAAGAATGCAGCGGACGGATCTTTTATGGAAGAGTCATTTGCAAGAGTTACACAAATACTTGACAAGATGGCAAAACACAATCAAGCTTGGCATTCTGAGGATACTTCAGGCGGAGTTGCATATGGTTCTCCTTCCTTGACCAAATTGATCAAGGAGAATCAAGAGAGGGACCAAATAATTGCAGGGTTGGCCACAAATGTAAATGTGTTGACAAAAATGCTCACGAAAAATCAAACAGAAAAGGCGAATGTAGTCGAGGATGTGCAACCTATCTCCAATGAAGAGTTTGATGAAGCTAATTACATCAACAACTCTCAAGGAGAGTATCAACGACAATATTATCAGGGTCAGGGGCAGCAAAGTCAATGGAGGCCGAACCCGCAAGGGCAAGGCAACCAACAATGGCGACATGACCAAGGTGGCTCAAACCAAGGGAATTGGAACAACAGCAACAACTTTTCCAACCGGAGTTCAAACCCCAATGTTCCTCCAAAGGGTCAATATTCGAACCAAGGGTCTTCTAGTGAATCTAAGTTGGAAGCTATGCTCGAGCGAGTGTTGCAAAATCAAGGAAAATCCGATACTTCAATGAGGAACATGACCGAGGTTGTTGGATCTCATACCGCCCCCATCCAAAAATTGGAGATGCAAATGAGAAACCTCTCCAAAGAGCAAAATCCAAAACAAAAGGGAACACTCCCTAGTGACACGGTTGCAAATCCAAGAGGTAGTGGGAGTGGCCCAACTTCTCACATCATGGCAATCACTACTAGGAGTGGGAAAGTGCTACACGGAGAGGGTGAAAAAACGGTTGAAGCAGATGAGTCCGAACAAAGAGTTAAGGTTGAAGAGCCAAGTGTTGTCGAGGTTGAAAAGATTCCGGAAGAGTCGAATGTGCAAAAAGAGAACCGGGAAGAGGTGAAGGAAAAAGTGAAAGAGACACCAAAAGCTCTTCCACCTATTCCTAGACCTCCTCCCCCATTTCCTCAAAGGCTCGCGAGAAAGATTGATGATAGCAAACTTGAAAAATTCTACGACATCCTCAAGCAATTAACGGTGAATATTCCATTTGTGGAGGCTTTTCAAGAGATGCCGGGGTTTGCCAAATATTTAAAGGATTTGATCACCAAAAAGAAGACCGCAAAGAATGAGGTAGTAAGCATGACTCACCGGGTTAGCTCTATTATTGCCACAACCAAAGTCCAAAAGAAAGAAGACCCGGGAGCTTTCACCATTCCTTGCACCATCGGTTCACGCGATTTTGCAAGAGCCTTATGTGATAATGGGGCTAGCATCAACTTAATGCCTCTTGCCATCTATAAGCAAGCGGGGTTAGGTATGCCAAGACCCACTAGTATGAGATTGCAAATGGCCGATCGGTCAATCAAAGGCCCGGTGGGAATTCTCGACGATGTACTTGTAAAAGTGGGGAAGTTTCATTTGCCCGCCGATTTTGTAATTCTTGACTGTGCGGTTGATAAAGAAATTGCTATCATTTAGGGGAGACCATTCCTAGCCACGGGAAGGGCACTCATGGATTCGGAGAGGAATGAAATTAAATTCCGGGTGAATGATGAAGAAGTCACATTTCAAGCGAGCAAGGGTATGAAACTACCCCATGAGTATGAATGCATTTCAGTGATAGATGTTGTTGATGAGGTAGAAGGTGCCGTCGAAATGAAAATGGAAGAACAATGCCTTGGTGAGGCATTGGCGGCTATCTTGGTTAACTTTGATGTTGAAGCCATGGATGGGTACATTGAGTCGGTAAATGCATTGGAGGGTCTTGGATCATACACTTATACTCCGGCAATGCTTTCGCTTGACTTGGAGAATAGAGCCACACCTCCCGCAAAGCCATCAATCATTGAGCCGCCACAACTAGAGCTCAAGCCACTTCCCCCGCACCTAAGGTATAAATTTCTTGGCTCTAATGATACTTTACCCATAATTGTTTCGTCTTTGTTAAATGATGTGCAGGTGAAACAATTGTTGGAGGTCTTGAAGGAGCATAGGCAAGCCATTGTGAACAATTGCGGATATCCGAGGGATTCCCGCGGGAATTTGTGAACACAAGATCCAATTGGAGAGCGACACGAAGCCAAGTGTGGAACATCAATGACGGTTGAACCCGTCAATGCAAGAGGTGGTAAAGAAAGAAATCATCAAGTGGTTGGATGCCGGGGTTGTCGACCCCATTTCCGATAGTTCGTGGGTGAGCCCGGTGCAACGTGTGCCGAAAAAGGGAGGCATGACCATAATTGAAAATGATAAAAACGAGCACATCCCAACAAGAACGGTAACCGGTTGGAGGGTGTGTATGGATTATCAGAAGCTCAACAGTGCCACATGCAAAGACCATTACCCTATGCCTTTTATTGATCAAATGCTTGATCGGCTAGCGGGAAGGTCATTCTATTGTATCCTTGACGGATATTCCGGCTACAACCAAATCAACATCGCATTGGAGGATCAAGAGAAAACAACATTCACTTGTCCCTATGGAACTTTTGCCTTTAGTCGGATGCCATTTGGTTTGTGCAATGCTCCGGCTACTTTTCAAAGGTGCATGATGTCCATTTTCTCCGACATGGTGGAGGATTTTCTAGAGGTCTTCATGGATGACTTCTCGGTAGTAGGTGATTCTTTTGAGCATTGTCTTAAGAATATGAGACAAGTGCTTAACCTTGTGCTAAATTGGGAGAAATGCCATTTCATGGTGGATGAAGGCATCGTATTGGGGCATAGAATTTCCAAACATGGCATTGAGGTTGACCGAGCTAAGATCGAGATTATTTCCAAGCTTCGTCCACCCACTTCCGTCAAAGGTGTTCGATGTTTCTTAGGGCATGCCGGATTTTATAGCCGGTTCATCAAGGATTTTTCCAAAATTGCAAACCCTATGTGCAAGCTCCTTGAAAAAGACACCAAATTTGTGTTTGATGAGAAATGCCTCAAAGCTTTTGAGGAATTGAAGCTAAGGCTCACCATGGCACCTATTATTGCCACACCCGATTGGTCTCTTCCTTTTGAGCTCATGTGTGACACTAGTGGTGTAGCTATTGGAGCAATGCTTGGCCAACGTCACAACAAAGTTCTTCACCCGGTCTATTACGCAAGCAAGACACTCAATGGGGCGCAAATGAATTACACGGTAACTGAGCAAGAGCTTCTTGCCATTGTTTATGCCTTTGAGAAGTTCCGAGCTTATTTGTTGGGGTCCAAGGTGATAGTGTACACGGATCATGCTGCTCTTCGCTACCTTATGGCAAAGAAGGATGCAAAGCCACGGTTGATTCGATGGGTTTTATTGTTGCAAGAGTTTGACTTCGAGGTCAAGGATCGCAAGGGAACTCAAAATCAAGTAGCGGATCACTTATCAAGGCTTGAGGAAACAGGGAGACCAAAGGGAGATCTTGAGATCAACGATGCTTTCCCGGATGAGCACATCTTGGCACTATCTAGCACTTTTGCTCCTTGGTATGCCGATATTGCTAACTATTTGGTGAGTGACCTTATTTCGGAGGGTTTGGAGTCCTATCAAAAGAAGAAGTTCTTGAGAGATTGTCGGCAATATTATTGGGAAGAGCCATACTTGTTTCGTGTTTGTGCCGACAACATCATTCGAAGATGTGTTCCAGAAGAAGAAGTTATGCCTATTATAAAAGCATGCCATGACTCGCCGGTTGGGGGTCATCATGGGGGAAATCGAACGGAGGCCAAGGTACTTGAATGTGGTTACTATTGGCCGACAATCTATCATGATGCCAATCAAATGGTCAAGGCTTGTGACCAATGTCAAAGGCAAGGATCAATCTCCAAGAGGCATGAAATGCCTATGAACTTTGTGATGGAGATAGAAATCTTCGATGTGTGGGGAATTGACTTTATGGGTCCATTTGTGAGCTCTTATGGGATGAAATATATCTTGGTAGCTGTGGACTATGTGTCCAAATGTGTTGAAGCAATTGCTTTGCCTAACAATGAGGCAAGAAGTGTGACCGCGTTCTTGAAGAAAAACATATTCACTCGGTTTGGCACTCCTAGGGCCATTCTTAGTGATGGCGGGTCTCACTTATGTAACAAGGCTTTTACGGGACTACTAGAAATGGCGTCAAGCACAAGGTGGCCACACCTTATCATCCCCAATCTAGTGGTCAAGTTGAGGTTTCCAATCGGGAGATCAAGAACATTCTAGCAAAAACTGTTAATGCAAACAGGACAGACTGGTCAAGGAAGCTAGATGACGCAATTGTGGGCATACCGCACGGCGTACAAGACTCCTATTGGTAATTCTCCATATCGGTTAGTCTTCGGAAAAGCTTGTCATCTACCTGTAGAATTGGAACACAAAGGCATGCGGGCTCTAAAAAGGTTGAACTTGGATTGGGCTGAAGCTGCAAATTTGAGGTTGACATAACTCAACGAAATGGAAGAATTCCGTTTCCATGCATATGAAAGTGCAGCTGTGTATAAGGAAAGGATGAAGTTAGTCCATGACAAGAAGATCTTGAAAAGGGAGTTCAAATCGGGTGACTTGGTTTTGATCTTTAACTCCAGGCTCAAATTGTTTCCGGGCAAGCTTAAATCCAAATGGTTCGGTCCGTTCAAAGTGGTAAGTGTCTCTCCTTATGGAGCTGTGGAACTGGCATCGGAAGATGGGTCCCGGACATTTAAGGTAAATGGACAACGCATCAAGCAGTACCTGGGCACAGATGGAGAAAAACATGTGGTGGAGCAGCTGGCTCTAAAAGATGGTCCGTGTCCGACCGTTGAGTGAATCCAAAGGAACATCAACTTCGTCGTGCCGCGACGTTAAATCAAGCGCTTCATGGGAGGCAACCCATGTGTGGTAACACTCTTTTGTTCTTTGAATTTTTAATTTTTGATAGATAGATTTTCTTGAGCAAATTAATCTGTGTGTTAGAGTGCAGGGGGGTCAAAGTATCACAACACATGGTAGGAATGCATGAAAAAGGTAAGAAAAATCGCTGTGTGAAGTTTGCTGCAAAGATGCGTCGCATTTAACTATGCGGACCGCATTTTGATCGCAAACCCAAGTAGTGAATTTGGCAAAAATTGGTTGTCAGAATGCGATGTGGTTGTGCACAATGCGAACCGCATTTCACTTATGCGATCGCATTGTGCACCGCATTTCTGACTCGTAAGGCTCAATTGAACCTACCGCATAACACATATGCGGTCGCATTGTATGTTATGCAGTGCCCTACCTACCGCAGAATTGACAAGGTATGTGGCCGCATTCTCTCGTCTCTAACTCACTCAAAACAAAACGAAAACAAAAAGGAAAGTAAAAAGAACAAAGAAAACAAAAAAGAAAAGAAAAAAAATTAAGGGGGAAAAATATGAACAGCACAGGGAAGTTAACAACAAGGAATAGAATCGTTCAACGTTCAAATCTTCAAATTCATCCCTGTAGTGTGCACACTAAGCCTCGCTGGTATGTACCCATTCCCCACTCTTTTTGTTTACGATTCACATTGTGTGCTCGTTGATTCTCATTCATCCCGTTCTGCAAATATGTGTTTATGTGTTGCTGTATGTAGTTGTTTCTCCGTAGTTTAGTCGATTCTGGGTTGGAAATTATCTGGGCAAATGGGTCGAAGGAACTAGGGCCACCATTGCTGAGATGGTTGTTGAAGAAGAAGGCATATGCGGCCCGCAAAGTCAAAATGCGGTCCGCATTTTAGCCGCAGACCTAACCCTAGGTCTTCTGATGAAGATGATGAAATGCAGTGACTTTGCGATTTCATAATTGATATACGGATCACAAAGCTACCACAGAGTGACACAGACCACCCAGTTAAGAGCATGGTATTTTGCGGTTGTTCTGCAATCGCATTCCCCACTTTGCGGTGGAGTCTGCGATCGCATTGTGTGATTTATGTTTTGGGCAAGTCAACTCAGCGATGGTTATGCGGTCCGCATAATGGTTATGCGACCGCATAACCCACCGCAGACTGAGACCCATTTGAGACTAACAGATTTGCGACGATTCTGCGGTCCGCATTGCGGTTTTGCGACCGCAGATCATGTCGCATTTCATGTTTTTCTTTTAAATTCTTCTGATTTTTCTTAGCATTGCGAATGTTGTCACTCATACTTCACTATTGTGCAGATATGGCTCCAAAGAAACACTCAGCCTCTGCATCAAAAAGGGCTTCCTCCAGTCGCCAAGAAACACAAGCAAAACGTTCACGGACGGAAGCAACTTGCCAAACCCCTCCCAGGCTGATGAGGAGGAGGTCAGGCCCTCAGTTAATTAAGAGGCTGAAGAAAGAAGGAAACATGGAGAAGACTTCCACCTCCGATTTGGGGTTGAGGGGTCTAGGAAACTATACAAAGAAGGGCTCACCAAGCGCAAAATCCTGGTCGAAAAACAATTGAGCTTGAATGGGCTGAAAGACCAATACCCCCACACCCTGGAGAACATAAAAGCACAGAGATGGGAGTGCTTCACTGAGCCACCCACTGAGTAC